TCAGTCAGTCAGTCACTCAGTCAGTCAGTCAGTCACTCACTCACTCAGTCAGTCAGTCAGTCAGTCACTCAGTCAGTCACTCACTCAGTCAGTCAGTCAGTCACTCACTCAGTCAGTCACTCACTCACTCACTCAGTCAGTGAGTCAGTCAGTCAGTCACTCACTCAGTCAGTCAGTCACTCACTCACTCAGTCAGTCAGTCACTCACTCACTCAGTCAGTCAGTCAGTCAGTCACTCACTCACTGACTCAGTCAGTCAGTCAGTCAGTCAGTCACTCTCTTCATTTGGAAAGTCTGACGATGTCTGACGTTTGTGTGGGACCCTTTGAGTTCATCTCCCAAGTCCGGGTCCAAGTCGATCAGTTGAGCCGCTGCGACACTTCGAAGAAAACATCAGCGCCAAAGTAACGTTCACAGACCCATCAGAGGATCCTTAGAGACGCATCACCAATCTCATCTCTCCGGGCTCCGACCGACTTCACTCCTCACATGGATCACACGGCCGATCTGCCTGGATGATCCTTGCGGGGGTGTTTGGGACCACCTGGCACCACCGCAATGAGGCTGTGGGAATGGTGTCGCGATGCGGAAACGCACAATCCCGGTGGCTTGGCGAGTTTGGGCGCTCTTTTTGTTCCCCTTCGGGCTGGTTCCCCCAATAAGAAGCGGCGAGTTTGGGGATGGACGACAGAGTGAGGTGTGAGAGTCTGTACACTGTACACGGTACATGCGGAAAGGTGGTTTTGTGATTCAATCACTTCAAACTGGTTGTTGGGATTTCTGGAAATTGAACCACAAGTTCTTATAGTTTTTCCTCTCACAACAGTAGGTTGTCATGACCCCACTCCGCGACCAGGTCGTCTGGCAGCAGATCGATGGGCTGTGTGCGGCTCTGAGAAAGCGCCGTTCCACGCGCGTCTGAGCTCGTCCGACCCGCCGCAGGTACAGTGCGGACGTAAACAACGAGATCGAGCTAGCCTTTCGGAACGGTGTCGGGATCCCTCAGCAGTTTTTTTCTTTCTTCCATCGTCTTAAATTGTTAAATTACTATTTTCATCTATTTTCGTTATTGAATATATATATATATATAGATGTACATATATATATATATATACATATTGTATTAAACCCCTTTCCGAAAAACGCCCAACGGCCCAAAGCCTTTCGGGGTGAAACACGGCGCGAGGCCAAGCACGCGGAGATTGCGGTGGGAATTCGCAGCTATGAGGTCTTGTTTGAAGGAGCCTCCATGGCGGGCAAGCAGGCAGAGCAGATCTCACTGTCGTTTTCAGTTGTAAGAGCGCTGTCTGGAACCGCAATGGGATGACATTTTCTTGGTCATCGTGCTCCTTTGCCTAACTTGCTAGACGTTGGATTGTGAGCATGTCTTTTGGATTGAGGATAGGGTAAGGAGCCTAAAGACAGACGTTAGAGGATAGCTTTGCGCTCACTTCATCTCGGATCAGGAAAGATGATGTTGAAATCATTCAAACATTCGCCCAGGCACACTCCCTCTCAAGAAAAGAGTATTGGTCCTCTTACTTGTTGGCGTCTCGTTTGCCTGGTAAGTTGCTCCTTTTTTTGGACCATTTCAGGCTGACATGTTCGGCCGAGCAAACCCATGTGCCCCTGGCCGCGGCAGGTGGATAAGCGACGCAAGAAGCGGCGCTTTGTTCGGCGAAGAGCTGTTCAAATGGAAGAGAGAGAGGCCTGCAAGAGCGCCTGATGTTCATCGCAGGACAACAACCGGAGAGACTTTGCCGTCATGCAGTTGCCGCCGTGGATTGGCTGAAAGACAGGGGTGTTGTACGATGCGAGCGGGCTTGAAAACCATGTCCAGGCTGCGTTGCAAAGCGTGGAGTCCGCAGTCGCAGCAGCATGTGCTGAGGACAGCTCACCCCGTGGATCTTGTTGCATGTCGGTGTGTATTGGAGGGTAGACTTGGGAAACTCCCTCCCACTCAAAACCCAGTGGGTTAGGATGGTCTCCCAATTCCAAGAGCAGGGGCATGTTATCGATTCTTTTTAGTTTATGTAGATTTTTTTTGATTCCTTATGCTTCTTGCTATTCTGCTTTGCCGCTTTTTGCTTTTCTGCTTCTCTGCTTTTTGTGCCTTCCTTCATGTATGCTTCGTTGCTTTTCTGCTTTTTTTGTGCTTCTTTGCTTTTCCACTTTCTGCTTTTCTGCTTCCACTTCATTGCTTTTTTGCTTCTTAGCTTTTCCGCTTTCTGCTTTACTGCTTCTCCGCTTCTTTGCTTGTTGCTTTTCTGTGTGTCTGCTGTTCTGCGTCTTTGCTTTTGTTCTTTTTGCTGACTTTGATTCCTACATCGCTTCTCTGCTTCTTGCTTTTTGTGTTTCTCAATCTCTCTCTCTCTGTTGTGCAATGTGCATGTGACATGTGCACTGTTTGTAATTTTGCTTTGCAGGGCACGTTTTTACTTTCTCTTTCTTGTTTGCCTTGTGTTTTTCTCTTTGTTGGTCTTTGGAGCCGCACACCTTTTGGTGGGCCACTTGGAGCACACCCTTTTGACCAAATGACAGTTTGGAGCAGGAAGGAAACATTAAGCATGCCTTTTGTAGTTGCCCGAGGGCAATGGTTGGAATTGGGAGGAGCCATTCCAACGTAGGGCCCTCCAGGGAGTCTAGAGCAGAGGAGCTTGCTTTCTTTTCCTTTTGTTTCACGGTTTGGGTGTTCCATGGGGGCAGGCGCTGCGCCCTCCTGCAGCGCTCCCCCAACCCTCCTCCCACGCTACAAAATCAACCTTTGATGAAACGAGGTCTCAAACCTTCAAGCTCTCACTGACAATCACGTTCAGACAGTTGGAACAAGAAACAAAGATCCAAGGGATCCCTGATGTTTTACTTTGTCCGATTGTGCCACCATGGTGCATGTCAAAGCCGACTCTGCATGCATGTGCCAAAAATGGTGCGCCACTCACCCTAGCCTGCCCACCCCTACTCAAGGATCATATTCCGCAGTTTTCCGCAACCGTACAATGCTTTTGGCTTCGGTTGCCTTAGGTCCTTTTGTGCACTTTTAGACGCCCTTCACTGAAAGGGCGATAGGGTACATAGTTTCTAGTGATTTCTTTTGTGGTGATGTGTTTTAACGTTTGGTTCGCTTTGGGGCGGAGGCGCTGCGCCCCCCCCCCCCAACCCCGCCCGCCCCCCCGAAACCTCCCCCTTGCACTGCGCCTGCCACGAAAACTGACTATGTAAAGGGGCGCCCCTCGCCTTTTCAGAATTTTGTCCTCCTTTTCCCTTTTTTTGGCCGCCCCCCTTTCTGGGGGGGTAAAAAAATTTTTTTTCAGCTCTTTTTTTTTTTTTGGATCCCTTAACCCTGTACACCACTGGCAGACGCGCCAGGTGCATGGGACGTGCGAAAAACCACACCCGACCTTGCCCAGCAGTAAATCAACCAAAATCCAAATGCAAACTGAACCATAACATCCTGAAGCAAATCTAAACCGATTCCAAGAGGTGGCCGTTTTGTTTTGGAACATTTTTACATCGCTCCGTGGTTCAGGATCCATCCTTAGCAGACGCTGAATGTGTGATTTGTGCTGAATCCTTTGCCGACACGTCCGAGCCTCACAACGTCGCATGGAATCGGTTTTGGTGGACCTGGTACACCACTGAGCCCAATGAGCTTCCACCTACTGTAATAGCGTCCTTGCTCCAACCTAAAAGCCATGGCCTTCACCTAGTAGCGTCCTGGCGGGTCCAACGGGCCCGGTTGCTCCTTTTCAAGTCTTTTCAGAGGGTCCACCTTCAGAGAGACCTACCTTGAGGATCTCACGCCAAAAGAGTCGAATTTTGAGGTATGCAATGCCGGTGGTCCGGCTGCGTGAATGTGGGCACATCTTTCACGGTGCTTGTGCTGGGACTCCCAGTGGCATTGCTGTGAAACGGCGTTTCGGCATGTTTCGGACCCGTTTGGAGACCTGCCCAGACCCGTCGGCCGGGAGCAGCCCCCTTCACCGGCGGCCCAGGTTCAAGACCTCGCCGACCGACGGAAGACCTGTCCGTATTGCCGAGCACAGGCGATCTTTGGGCGCGGAACACAGCGTGGAATCCGATGATTTTGTGACGCGATGCGACGCACGCGTTTTTTTTTTTTAATTCTTTTTTTCCCATGTGACAAGCAATGACAAGCAGATCAGGGTTGTTTTGGTGGTTTTGGTTTGACTTCTTGGGACGATCAAGCGTAGAGTAGATGCACCAGCATGATCTCTTTGCGGTGGAACCAGCATGGACTTTGGAAGATGATTGATTCGAGTCCAGGTGGATTTGGTTTTGGTACCCGCCAGGTCAATTGGAAATACGTGGAGGAAGTGCAGATGTTCTCTGCCTCGTCCAACATGGAGCGCTACCGAACGCTGACTCGTCGAGTTGGTACGAACTCGTTTGTTGGGTTTGACGCGTCGCGTCACCGATGATCTTAGGACATCGAATCCACGGCCTGTGAGGAAACATGGTTGAACTGGGTACTAGCAAAACCGCCACCAGGTTGCTCCAAGAAAAGAACTAAGATATGTCACCTTCGTGACCTTCGTGTGCTGCATTGCTGGACCGCCCCTTTCCTTGAGGACGCTTCGTTGCCTGACGACCTTCCGCTGGGCTGCTCGGAGCGGGGGGGGAGCGGGTTTTCCTTGGGTCCCGGGAAGACGATCAGCATGTCACTATGGTTCGGTAGATCGATCAGCGGCAGGGAAGACGGGAAGTGACCTGATCAGACTATCGGAAGTGGAGAACTAATGACGAAGTACGGAGCACAGTGCCGACTCCATGGTGTTGTTTCTTGGACTCGTATGTGCTGGCTTTATACATGGCTGCTTCAGCTTACAAAAAGAAACACTTAGCACAAAAAAACTGAAAATAGCTATTTTTTCTTTGGGTTACATTTCTATTTGTTTGCTCTTTTGAAAGTGAAAAATTGAAACCCACTAGTTCTGAACTAGTGACTGGGCCATCCATTGTTTGTGTGTGTAGCTCAAGCCTGACCACCACTACTACCAAAACACATAGAGTTCTAACAATAAAACAAAGGAAGGTTCCTTGGTTGGGGTGTCAACAACACTGTTTTGATGGCATTGGGTGGGATGCCAACCATTCCTGCAGAGCCTGGTGTGGCAAGTGCAATTTTGCTCAAAGTGCCCCCACCCCTTGCAATGGGTGGTTCGGGATGCCAGGGATGAGGTCGCTTCCCAGTGACTACAGGCACCCCATGCACCAGCAGGGTTCCTCGATGGACCTTTCAGCAGCCTGAGCCTGACATGTGGAACCACCAGTAACTTGGTATTCTCATTTTGCAAATCACTGTGGGTGCATGGGGCAATACCATATGCATGTGACAATTGAACATGGAATGCCAGAAAACACTAGGGAAATAAGTGTTCATAACCTAAAACTCTGGGCAGTTGTGAATCCTATTCACTAAGCCCTCAGTTGATGAACACCAAATGAAGGCCTTGAACATCGCATTGGTGAACTTTCTCATTGAGTGTATATATATATATATATTTAGGAAAGACTTCGAGAATGTGCTGCCTGTAAATGTTTGCTGTTTGAGGGTGCTTTCCAGGAGCATTTCCTGGGTGATGTGTTTTGATTAGGCTTTTCTAAGTTTTGTTTGGCTTCATTTAGTTTTACTTAGTATTTCTTTGCTTTTCTATTTTTTTAAAATAACTTAGGACAATATTTTTCCTCAAGCGACACATCAGGTAGGTTTATAGCGGATATGAATGTGCATGAATGACTGTTGGCGGCAAGTCCCTTGCACAGGCCTCCTCCTCCTCCACCTGTGATATCCTCAGAGTGAGGCGGAGGTATGTGGGTTTGTCTCAAAACATCCCTGGTAGATCCATGTTTGGTGTGAACTTTTTGAGACGCACCCATGTACACATGTCCGGAATGCATATCATGACAAGACTGCTGAGGTCTGAAACCCATGGCAGGAAGTTGATGCCAGTGTGGCATCAGCGAACAAAAAGGAGGTTGCTTTGAGATGCTTTGAGATGATGTTGCAACGATACCATGTGAAGCTACATCTTAGCTGTTTGTAGGCATTGCCATCATTTATTGGTCTTGGCTCAATAAGGGTGCCTAGCATCCCCCCATGAGGCAACAAAGTCTTAGGTCTTCAGTAGGTCTTCCATCGACTCAGACGTGCCACAAATAGCAGCATACTTTCTCATGACTCATGATCATGAATGAAACATGAGATCAGGTACCCAACAGAATCCAAACCAAAAGCTCAATTGTGTGCTTGCGCAGTTTGTGCCATGGGCCCTCGATATCGATGCGAGGGCTCCGAGAATTCGAAGCATCGGGGCATGTGGACGGAGCACTCTGGACATGCCCTTGCAACGAGACAGAGGCAACTTACTTCGCCAAAATACCAACCATATCCCTGTGAACATATCCTCTATCAAAGGCATTTTGTGGCATAGGCCAGACATGTTTTCAGGTTTTTGTTATAGAAAGCACTTTGGCAACCTGGGAACCAAATTTATGGAGACATCAGTTTTGCCAAAACAACCTGGGAACAACATCTATAGTATCTATAGAAAGAGACTTGCCTGAAAAAGGTGAAGCGTGAATTCCATAAAGGAAGCATTTTCTAGAAGCAATACTGGTCATAAAAGACAGGAACAAGATTATGGAAAGCAGAACCTCTCGGACTGAGCAGTCGTAAACTTCTCAGGTGGCAGAGGTTCCTTCTCAAGAGCTGCCAAAAACTCTGCTTCATTCATTTTTTTTAAAATCAGTCCTGTCCGGGTGGCATGGTTCAACTTTTTTCTGTTTGATTCTTGGTTCCCCTGTTTGAGATTCGATTTTATATATATATATATGACTACAAAATCTAAAAAAAAATTGGGAAGCTTGTCCCAGGTGGACCTGTGCCACCAGATTTTATAGTGTGGCCACCTATTCAGGCATGTTGTTTTTTGAATTATATATATAGTTAGTTTGAAATTATTTACTCCAACCTGCTTTTTTTTCTATAAAATCTGGCCCCCCCAGCTCCTACCCGGATCCAACCATAAAATATTCGCCAAGGTATCAAGGTATCAGAGCGTTTGCTTTGGGCCGGGCTGGGATGTCTTTGTTGCTAGATAGACATTGGTGAAACACCCTGAAGGTTGTTTGCAAGCGACAGGCGCACGCTCGAGAAAGCGCTTCAGCCTTCATGAATGCGTCCTATCCGTCTTCAGGCGCCTTTGGTCAATTTCCAAGCGACCTGTCTTAGTGTCCCAGTGGTGGTCAGGTTTCCTGAAATCAATACTTCTGCGCTATGTATGGATGAATGCATTGACGCATGTTCTTTCCGTTCATGCGGCCAGGAGTCTGCATTTGCCATACCTTCTAAGCCACATATATACGTACGAGCAACGGTCCGCAGTCAGATGGCCTGGAGGTGGACGTGGTGTTCTGTTGAAAGAGATAAGAAAAGAAGACCAGAACTGACAACAGCGGTGGAATCCCTGAGAAATCCGAAGAGATGATAGGCCCGCTTTTTCTTGAAGCTTTTTCTTGAAGAACCAAATCTGTCTTTGCCTCACACGTCTCCAGGTTCGCTTGCACCTTCTCGCGGCGCTGTGCGCGCCGGCTTCTTGGCGCCGGCGCACGCTGCCGCCCTCGCGCCGTCGGGTGCCGTGCTTGCGCCGTCGTCCTTCTCAGAGGGGTGGATCGACTGGGCCAAGAGCAACCCTCTCATGGTCCTGGGCCTCGTCACGCCGATCTTTTCGATCGTGGGCGCTGCGCTCACAGGACACAAAGGGGTTCGGTTGGGAGTTGGGGTCGGTGGGTCAAACTGCCAAGGTTCGGGTGGTTTTTAGCAACGGCCAGCTCCAGCTTGAACAAACGGTTAAAAAAGAAGACCCAACAACCTGCAAGTCTTGATAATGTTTTTCATTTCCACAGCCCAAGCCGGGAAGTGGGTCCATTAATACAGATGGTGGTGATGCCAAAGTAACCGAATGAGATATGCAGCATCATGTCAGTCAAGACAGATAGATCGCGTGCTTGGCAGCAAATTTGCTCATCAAGCAAGTTTTTCTTCACGTCACATCAAGCAATCGAAGGTATGCAACAACTGAATACCTCATACCGACTCATACCTATTGGGAATGAAAGGGTTGCCGGTGCGAGCCAGGAGCTGTCGGACTCTTTGCGGCCAGCGCTGTGACGTCCGACGGGGGTGAAGGTGAGAATGCTGGCGATGGCGATGATGAGGGAGGCTTGTTTGGAGACTTTGGCGACTTTGACATGGGCGACTGGGGCGATGAGGATTAGAGCTCGGTCTGCGATGTGCAAGCTCAAGAAGGGCTTGAAGCAAAAGGGCGATGGTCCTTGCAGAGTCAAGCGGTAGAGTCTTTCTAAGAGGTTTGAGCTCTGAAGCTTTGATCAATTGCTTGTCTTGTCAGGCTCACGTGTTTTGCATCCATGCAAGTTACCCAAGATTCTTCACATATGTTTGTTACCTTCCATGCCCTGAGACATTTTAAAGTCCACGCAGATGTCTTCCACAGCGGTGTTGTGATGTTCCTGAGCGAACGCACACAGCGTTCGCTGGATTGACCTTTTGCGAACGGGTGCACGGCTGCGCTGGACTTGCCTCCGCCATGAAGCGCAGCCATGATGAGTCCATGGAGGAAGGGGTGGACAGGATGAGTCCATGAGAATGGGTTTCCAAGTCGTTTGCTTTGATATTGCAAGGCATGACTCGTTGTCTTGGTGGTCAGAGATCATGAAACTTTCCCAGAATTGGTTTAAGGGAACAAGTTTATTCCCCAGATAGCGAAGCTATGGTGTTCTTACTTCAAATAACAATGAGTTGCCTGTGCGCGCTTTCGAGACAGGTTGCTGGTGCTGGTGCTGGGTGCCGGTGCTGGTGCTGTGAGCTGGCTGTGCACGTGGTGGAGACAGGTTGC